GTTCATATTTGCATTTACATCCTTTTTTTCCACCTTCTGCACTATGTACACACGTTAAATAATCTGGACTCTTATATATTTTATACTCAACCAATAGTCATACAAAATATACAGTAGTTCTATTTGTCACAAGTTTAAATCTCTGTGATATCAGATCATTTGAAAAAATAAAAATACAGAATGTAAGAAGACAATGGATGGTTGGTGTTAAAGGTTAAAAGTCTTAATCTGTATCTGATGATAAAACACTTGGCTTGGCTTGACGTACATGAAGGTATGTAGTTCAAGTTAAAATTGACAGTTTACCACAGACACAATTACAGAGGTGAGTAAATAAAAAGAAAATATTAAAACTACATGCCCAAGTACAGGTAAAAAAATAAATGGGAGGAAACTCTCTCAGCTTTTGACTTTGGTGCTTTCCACTGACAGTCTTCAAAAAAATACAGGATGGTCTCATCTATTCCTCCAGATAGACCCAATTACATCTTGAGTGGACACAGTACTTCAGCACATAGAGAGATGCTGAATCCTGCGTGCTTCTCAGGAGAGATTCTTCTGTGTTTTCTCCTTCCCGTCCTATGAAAGCCAAATTACAGAAGCAGGATGGTCTTGAAGCTCAGCTAGACGGGAGGAGGGCCCTTTGTGTAGCTCAGCATCGGGTAAAAGGAATGAGCAAAGTTGTTGGACTGAGTGCAGTAGTCCTCCTCTGCCAGCGGCAGCAGGAAGGCGAGGACCACCAGCAGCAGCAGGAGGAGCTGGAGAGGCAGCGCAAACCAGAGGACGCGGCACCAGAACGGGGATCTACGGCCTCTTGCTGAGTCCAGATCAGAACGGGAGGAAGCGGATCCAACGCCGCTGCGTGACCTGCTCACACAACCAAGCAGACACTGAGCATTAGTCAATCACTGGTAATAAAAAAATCATCTCTGGCTCATCTACACTGCTGCCAACACTAAAATACTGTATAATCTAAATAGAATAAATGAGCTAATTAAATCAATCTAATTTGGACAACAATCATCCTACTTTAATCTTAATCTAATATTCCCCTCTACACATGTGCACTTGTTTAGCTTAGTCTGCCTGTTTTTAATCCAAATAAGATCTCCTTTCAGTGACATGTTAGTCAGTGCTTCAGTGCACACGGATGTGTTTGAAAGATGCTTTAAACACAGCGGACAAAGTTTAAAACTGATCCACATGCTGACTGAAACTTGGTGGGCAAACAGGATAACAAAGACAGTGACGAAACAATATCCAAGCATTCGCACTGCAGTGCTGCACCAGACAAATACACTTAATGTTTGCTTGCATTCCTTTGCAGAAGGTGTTAGGATAAAAGACGACGAGCATGCTGCAGGAATCAGCTGTGCTGACTCGGAAGGTTTGGGCCATGGAGGAAAGTGCAAAGCGTGCCGCGGCAACAGGAGCACAGCAAACTGAAAAAGCTTTTTTCTGACTATTTATCTCATTAATATATCACTTCATTACATTTGACTTAAAGAGGGGCTAATGTACAAAGGAATTCACACTACTTCATTTTACACTTTATCAGACTACAATGTTTTTATTATGGAAGTTATATGGCAGAAAGTATAGTACTGTAAAGAGAAAGATAAAAAGGATTTCCATGTCATGATCTGGCCTGTTTTCTCCTCCTTAATTAGTCATTCCTTTCACCTGTCATTTTCCCTCCCTGCCTCAATTATAATGTATTCCTCTCACCTGTTTCCTCTGGTTTATATTCAGTTCAGCCTGAGCATTCAGGGCCAGATTATTACTTGTCTTTTTGTTAGCCTGTCTGTTAGTTTTGTTCCTTGGTTCGAGTCCTGGATTCTAGCAGCCAGTGGAAAGAAGGTTTTAGTGTTTGTCTCGTCTCCTGATCGTCCACTGTTCCTCCCCCGCGGAGTCCTCTGGGTTTTTGGCTCTATATGTGCGGGGGTTCAGTTTTTATCTCAGTAAGCCTGGCTCCAGGGAGGAGACCAGTTTAAAGTCCTGCATCAAGTTCTGGTTCCACGTCCTGTCTCGGCTACCCTCTTCCATTGGGCCTGCTCTTTTGCGTGACCACCTGGTCATGCTTCTGGTCCCAGTCAGACTCTGAACCCTCCTGGGAGCCTGTGGATGCCTGGAAGTCTGGATCCTGCCACCTGTTTCTGTTCCTGCCTGATCTGGATCCTGTCCCTGTCTGTTCTGGATCCTTGACCAGGATCGGCTTCCAGCATGTCCTCTGGAACTGCAGCACTTGGGGACATTCTAGGACTGGACTGTTTAACCAGAGTGTCTGTGATTGGGCGGTGCCCCGCTCCCCATCCTGCAGTGTCCGCAAGCCACAGCTCCATTTCAGTTTTTGTTAATTTAATAAACCTTTTTGAACTTTCCTACTGACTGTCCTTGAATACTGGGTACATCTGTCCTCAGTTCATGACATTCCAGCTTTTACTTTAAAAAATAAAGATCTCTGATGCCCAGAGATAAAACCCAGTGCTAGTTGTAATTTAATCTCTGAATCCAACTGTTTTCTGAAGTTTTTATTAAGAAAACTATGGAACAGCACCTACTATGTGGTCTGCCTACAAAGGTAGGTGCTTCTGTGGAAAATGAAGACTCCATATCCCCTTGAACATTGCAACTAATAAATGGTGGTGGCACCATAGTATGGGGAAGCTTTCCAGCTACACGGTGGCTGTTTGGATATGAAGGGAAGCTGCTAAACATTTAAGACTGGGATGAAGGTTTTTAGTTTCCAGCAAAATGTCTTAGACTGTTCACAAATAGTTCACAAATAGTTTTTATCTTCAAGCTGACAGAAAATGGCTCCAAATGCCGATATAAAGGGAGTTAAAGGCGGTTTTATAGAATATAAATGATTAAATAAAAAATATGCCACACTTTACCTCTGATTTTGTAAAAAGCAAAAAAGTTAAAACCGCCTTTAATTCTTCTCCGACTTTAAAATATATTTGTCAAATAAAAACCCAGCTAACAACATACAGGTTTGAGGTCTGATGAAACATAAATAAGTTTAATGAGTAAAAACACTTTTGCAACGGACTATCATTCTAAAAGAGTAAAATGGAGGCAGACGATATGTTTATGAACTAAAAGAAATGTAATCTTCCATGACAATAAACTCTGCTTTACTTTTATAAGAACAACTCCTATGATGTCAAAATGAAGTGATCAAGAATAAATATTACTCTGAAAGGAAACATCCCTACTATTTAAACAATCGTCACTACTTGATGGTTTATCATATTTTGGTTGAACTATTAACACCCACTTGAGTAACATTTTTGAATAAATGCCTTTGAGGTTCGTCCTGCATGCTTTTCCCACCTATTTAGTAGTAGAAGAAATTTTTAAAGATGATCCTATTATGATCTAACATTCATAATGTTGAAATATTTCAACCTGATACGTAGTGCAAGTGCAAACCATATTACTGGTCAATCTATCCGCCAAACTCCTATATTACAAACACACAAATCCTATTATATACACTGTACTTAATCTGTATTTTTTGTATTTGTTGTATTATTGTATTTGTATTTCTTTTGCTTAATTTTATTTTAATTTAATTTAACTTAATATTTTCTTACCCTGTAAGCTGCTGGTAACCTTAATTTCCGGAGGGAGTCTTCCCAAGGGATCAATAAAGTACCGTCTAAGTCTCATTATTCCTCCATTGCTTTTATTACCAGTTTATATGTTTAGCTTTAAATGTCCAGAGTTTTACACAATCCTTTTAGCCGATCATTAATTCAGATTCCAAGTTATTTTGCTGATGCAAACTTAATGGGAACAGAATTTAATGTTTTTTAATGACTGCAAAACTTCTCATTTAGTTTGATTCTGTTCAATTGTTAAGGAAAAGCTGCTTCTCTGTCTCTACATACTCAGTCCTCTTATAAAGAAGCAGTACTTCCCTTCAGTAGCAGCAGCCTTCACTAAAATGAATGGTGAAGTGAAACAGGAAGCCTAATCTATGCAGGCGGTGCACCGCAGCAAGAGCCAGAATCTACCATCAACATTCAGTGTGGTCAAAATGTTTGATAAATGGCTGAATGGTGTACGTTTCTAACAGTTTAGTTTCATTCAGCTATTTTTGGTCAAATCCAGAGTAAATGTATTTTTGAAGCACCTATGGAAAATTTTCATTCACATTTCACAAAGAAACAAAGTGAGAATTTTTGTTTTTTGTTAATTATTTGTAGAGAAATATATATTTAAAATAAGTTGCTGTAATTATCAGCCAATGTCAAAAAACATTTAGCGAACTACACTCACCGGCCACTTTATTAGGTACACCTGTCCAACTGCTCGTTAACACTTAATTTCTAAGCAGCCAATCACATGGCGGCAACTCAGTG